AAATCTATAGGGGAAGGAAAAGAGGGGTAGGGGTCGTCCTCGAAAGGGTTGGAAAGAGGGGGGTAAAGGAGGTTTTGTGGGCGAGGGGCTTGGACTTCCAGCAAGCGTGCATGAGCGTGTTAGATAGGAGTGAATGGAGACGAATGATACTTGGGACCTGACGATCTGTTGGAGTGTGAGCAGGGTAATATTTAGTGAAGGGATTCAGGGAAACCGGTTATTTTCATATAGTCGGACTTGAGTCCTGGAAATGGGAAGTACAATGCCTGCACTTTAAAGGAGTGGTTTGGGATATTGGCAGTTTGGAGGGATATGTTGTGTATCTTTATACGTATATGCTTCTAAACTGTTGTATTCTGAGCACCTCTGCAAAAGCAGTGATAATGTGTGAGTGTGGTGAAAGTGTTGAATGATGATGAAAGTATTTTCTTTTTGGGGATTTTCTTTCTTTTTTTTGAGTCACCCTCCCTCGGTGGGAGACGACCGACTTGTTGAAAAAAAAAATATATTAACACTGGCCGATTCCCACCAAGGCAGGGTGGCCCGAAAAAGAAAAACTTTCACCATCATTCACTCCATCACTGTCTTGCCAGAAGGGTGCTTTACACTACAGTTTTTAAACTGCAACATTAACACCCCTCCTTCAGAGTGCAGGCACTGTACTTCCCATCTCCAGGACTCAAGTCCGGCCTGCCGGTTTCCCTGAACCCCTTCATAAATGTTACTTTGTCCCCTCCAGCTCTTGCACCCAACATCTTGTTTTTTGGGGGATTTCAACAAAGGGCCCCAAAAAAATGGGGAATTAGCAAAAAATATTTTTTTGCAAATAACACCAGGAGGCAGCTCTGATGAAAACTACACTAACGAGCTTTTAAATCTCTGCCAAAATTAAATTTTAACCGCAAATAATGACCCCTACTAGATGGAGAAAAAACCTAGCCCCTCATTTCACTAACAAGATGATCTGATAAAAAATGTGACCATTCAAAAAAAATTCTCAGATCACAACATAATTGAGGTTAAGACATGTATGCGGGGGCCCCCAGACGCATAATGAGACTAGTCACGGGGAGATCCCCCAAATTAAACTTCAAAAAAAAAAACTTTAAAGTGGGACCAAGAAAACCAAGTCCAACCCGTTTAAAAGGGGGGAAGTTTATACTAAGCAACACAGCCCCCAACTTATCCCTAGACAGTTTAAATCGGTGGACTCGAGTATGCAAAAGGGTTTTTCCCTCTAAAAAAAAGGGGGTAGATGTAAAATAAAAAGAGAAGGCGCCTTTTACGGCGCGGAAAAAAATAACAGACGGTTTAAAAGGGTCAATATATCTGAAAGGTGGAAGACTGGTCAGGAATGCAAGCATCGAAATTAAGCTAAAGAACCCTTTAGGAGTCAGGAATCGGGGGAAAAAACTAAAACCCAAAAATGAAATCGAAAAAACCCCCAAAGTATTTCTTCCCATGCCAAATCAAACGAGAAAAGTCCAGTATTGGGCCCCTATTTAAAACAAGATGGGTCCTACCAGATGACAGCAAGGAAATGAGTGAACTACTCAAGCCCCAATATGACTCAGTTTTTGCAAGCCTCCCCGACTGAGGTGGGAAGATAAAAATGTTTTTTTATGGAGCCACAAAATTTGATTAACACAAGCCTATCCGATGTTATCCCGACGCCAAAAGACTTCGAACAGGCGATAAATGACATGCCCTGCACTCTGCCCCAGGGCCCCGACTCTGGAAAAACTGTGTTCATCAAGAATGCAAAAAGCCTATCCGAGCCTTTTTCCTCTATGGAGGGGGATGGCACGGGGGGTGTCCCACAGTTACTAAAAACAAAAGCAACCCCACTCCACAAAAGGGGGGGGGGTAAAGAACAGCAAAAAATAAGCCAAAAAGCACTAAATTCCAAATTTTATAAAATCTTTGAAAGGGTCTAAGAAGCAAGATCACCCCCTCTAGAAACCCCTCAGTTACACAACCCAGGGAAACAGGGTTTTTGAAAAGGGGCGCTCCCCGTCTGTTCAACTATCGGGTCATACGACAAGGGCCCAAAAGCACTAGAAACAAAAAGAATGCGATGTAATATATACAGACTTTGCAAAAGCCCTTTGACAAGTGTGACCATGGGGTAATGCGCCAAAATGGGCTAAAGGGATAACAGGAAAGTCGGTCGAGGATCTATTTAATTTCCTACTAAAGAACACGAGGTAGTCGTCAACAGAGTAAAGTCCCAGGCAGCTGGTAAAAAATCGTTCCCGGCCCCCTACTCGCTCCCATCTTGTTCCTCTCCTCATATCCCCATAGAAAGGATGTCAGCCCCAGACCTGTTTCCTTTGCAGATGACCCCGAACTGATGACAGTGTCTTCCATTGCGACATGCAAGGCCCAGGCGGAAAAATAACCAAATCTTTTAGTGGGCTGCAGAAAACAATATGAAGTTCAACGATGAGAAATTTCAATTACTCAGATATGGTAAACATGAGGAAATTAAATCTTCATCAGAGTACAAAACAAATTCTGGCCACAAAATAGAGCGAAACACCAACGTCAAAGACCTGGGAGTGATTATGTCGGAGGATCTCACCTTCAAGGACCATAACATTGTATCAATCGCATCTGCTAGAAAAATGACAGGATGGATAATGAGAACCTTCAAAACTAGGGAGGCCAAGCCCATGATGAAACTCTTCAGGTCACTTGTTCTATCTAGGCTGGAATATTGCTGCACACTAACAGCACCTTTCAAGGCATGTGAAATTGCCGACCTAGAAAATGTACAGAGAACTTTCACGGCGCGCATAACGGAGATAAAACACCTCAATTACTGGGAGCGCTTGAGGTTCCTAAACCTGTATTCCCTGGAACGCAGGAGGGAGAGATACATGATTATACACACCTGGAAAATCCTAGAGGGACTAGTACCGAACTTGCACACGAAAATCACTCTCTACGAAAGCAAAGGACTTGGCAGACGATGCACCATCCCCCCAATGAAAAGCAGGGCTGTCACTAGCACGTTAAGAGACCATACAATAAGTGTCAGGGGCCCGAGACTGTTCAACTGCCTCCCAGCACACATAAGGGGGATTACCAACAGACCCCTGGCAGTCTTCAAGCTGGCACTGGACAAGCACCTAAAGTCAGTTCCTGATCAGCCGGGCTGTGGCTCGTACGTTGGTTTGCGTGCACCCAGCAGCAACAGCCTGGTTGATCAGGCTCTAATCCACCAGGAGGCCTGGTCACAGACCGGGCCGCGGGGGCGTTGACCCCCGGAACTCTCTCCAAGTAAACTCCAACAGCACGTCAAGTATTAAAAACCATTTGTCTGCATTCACTCCTATCAAACACGCTCACGCATGCCTGCTGGAAGTCCAAGCCCCTCGCACACAAAACCTCCTTTACCCCCTCCCTCCAACCTTTCCTAGGCCAACCTCTACCCCGCCTTCCTTCCACTACAGACTGATACACTCTTGAAGTCATTCTGTTTCGCTCCATTCTCTCTACATGTCCGAACCACCTCAACAACCCTTCCTCAGCCCTCTGGACAACAGTTTTGGTAATCCCGCACCTCCTCCTAACTTCCAAACTACGAATTCTCTGCATTATATTCACACCACACATTGCCCTCAGACATGACATCTCCACTGCCTCCAACCTTCTCCTCGCTGCAACATTCATCACCCATGCTTCACACCCATATAAGAGCGTTGGTAAAACTATACTCTCATACATTCCCCTCTTTGTCTCCAAGGACAAAGTTCTTTGTCTCCAAGGACAAAGTTCTTTGTCTCCAAGGACAAAGTTCTTTGTCTCCACAAACTCCTAAGTGCACCACTCACCCTTTTCCCCTCATCAATTCTATGATTCACCTCATCTTTCATAGACCCATCCGCTGACACGTCAACTCCCAAATATCTGAATACATTCAGCTCCTCCATACTCTCTCCCTCCAATCTGATATCCAATCTTTCATCACCAAATCTTTTTGTTATCCTCATAACCTTACTCTTTCCTGTATTCACTTTTAATTTTCTTCTTTTGCATACCCTACCAAATTCATCCACCAATCTCTGCAACTTCACTTCAGAATCTCCCAAGAGCACAGTGTCATCAGCAAAGAGCAACTGTGACAACTCTCACTTTATGTGTGATTCTTTATCTTTTAACTCCACGCCTCTTGCCAAGACCCTTGCATTTACTTCTCTTACAACCCCATCTATAAATATATTAAACAACCACGGTGACATCACACATCCTTGTCTAAGGCCTACTTTTACTGGGAAATAATTTCCCTCTTTCCTACATACTCTAACTTGAGCCTCACTATCCTCGTAAAAACTCTTCACTGCTTTCACTAACCTACCTCCTACACCATGCACACACACCTATATATATATATATATATATATATATATATATATATATATATATATATATATATATATATATATATATATATATATATATATAGTGTGCGGAATAGGTAAAACTGGTCAATTAGCAAGAACTCATTTAAAATTAAGTCCTTTCTAAAAATTTCTCTTATACGTTTAAAGATATATATTTTTAATTTATGTTAATGTAAAAATTTACAATTTTGTATCCTAATCCAACTATATATATTTTAAATAATTTTGCAATAATTTAATAATAAACAAACACAATGAAATTTTTTTTTTGTTAGGTTCAGAATGATTTTTGCGAAATTACCGCATACACAAATTTTCGCTTGCCTTATTCGGCAAGAACAGCGTTGCTATTTAAGCCAAAATAGCAAGTTTTACCTATTCGGCACGATAATATGTACATATGCACACCTCTAGGTATATAACCTTGCTCCTCAGTATACACACTGAGAAGTATACTTATGTGATATAGGCTACAAGTATGTATTAAAGTTTACAAATTAAAATAAAAATAGACGCAGCATGTTAATTACTAAATTGTTAACAATAAATCTGTAAAATTTTGACACCAGCATCTAACACTTATTTCCACAGAAAAGGGTGAGTGATGAGAAGTCAGTCACGAGGAACCTGCTCAACTTGTTCCAGAGCATCGTAAGTAATAGTTAACTACCATATTTTGCCTTCCCTATTGAAAATTTTATGAATAAAACGCATGAGCATCACCTGGGTATCTTTACCAAAGAGACGTTACGCCAACCAATCTCAGCATCAATTCAATAAAGAATAAAAGGACACAATACCGTGACCGGAATCCACAAATAACACGCACATAGAGTGAAACTTGTGTCTAGTTAATGGTCCAACTCAGACCGAAACGCCGTCATAAGTTTCATTCTCCTATGTGCGTGTTGTGTTTCAGTTTAATACAAAGAACGTGCTATATGACGTCAAGAGGTGATTTGAGTCCCTTAGGCTTGATAGGTGGTCAGTCGATCAGCCTTGATAAATCTACAGAAGTGCTAGGATGGAAACTAACTGTGGTATATATACTCTAGATAGTTGGGGTAAAGCAGTTGAAGACGGCATCACAGGTGGGCAGAGTACGCTAGAGGAAGTCACGCTAAGTATGCATGACCGAAACGTTTCCTTAATTAAAATATTCAAGTGTTGTACGTGTTAATTACTAACGAGTAATGATACATTAAAAGGGGTGCGGCAGAGGGGGGTAGGAAGGAGCTGAACGTTTTAAGGGGGAATGAATTAAGATTGTGCGGAAGAGGCGTTTATCTAGAGTCGTAAAAGGAATAGGATATTTTAAATTAGTTTAAGTGAGACTCTCAGAGAAAGAAAGAAGAGAAATAGAACAAAGGAGAAGAGAGAGAGCTCTAAGTAAATGTTAAGGGAATTTTATGCCATGTGAGAACAATTGTAGTGAGACTCGAATGGTACTTAACCTAACCTTTCCTTGATCACTAGGCGACCCAGGATCACCAAAGACCCAGGAGCTGTAACCTGACACTCAACAGGTCCAGGAACAGGAGTGTCGATCACACCCTTATGAATTATTTATGCAGCCAGCCCCTGTAGTTTAATACTCTCAAAAAGTTGGCAAACAAATTCTCAGTCCAACCATGGCATCACGAACAGCAACCCACTAACATCAACCCACCAAAACACTAGCAGTTGCCCACCACAACCCCCTCGTTAAGACTGCCTCTCTTTAAAAAAGCCTGAAAAGGGTACTTATAAAAAAACAGGTAAAATTAAATTGACACTTTTTTATATTCTGAGTAATAAGATACAAAAACTATCTTAGTTTAAAATCTTAAATGCATTATAAATTACTGTATTACATTATAGCAGCACAGCAAGGAAAATAACTGATCTAGTAATGTAAAAACAAATACTAACTTCAAAATCACTAACACTTTCCAAAGTTGGCATCCTAACACAAATAACGGGAACTTGGCTTTGATCAGATATATCATATTTGAAGTGTATTTACTATTCAGAGCAACTACACCTCCGAACAAGCACAATCACACCCAGTAGCCCACTGCTCACTTGTCACACATTAGACTTTAACCTCAACACACCAAACACCCTTACCATAGAAGCGAAATTGCATATATTGTCACCCTGTGCACAAGATCACGAGCAATTGCGTATGTACCAGTTAGTGAACTGGAATGCGCTAATAGACATCCGCTGATATGACATTCTCCACAACCCAGCCATAACATTAAGCTATACAAACTACAAGCCTAACAACCAGCCATAACCTCATATTCCACAAACCACTAAAACACGGCCCACCACACATATCTATAGGCCTACCAGCTAAAAAAAAAACCTACTTCACCTGCAGATCACCTTGCTAAGCACTCGAAACATGAGACGCCGGTGCCTGATCATATTCTTCGCATGGTTCGTAGTTAGCTTGGTCTACTATGGCCTCACCTTCAACGGGGCCAACATAAACGCCTCGATCTACCTCCTCATCTTCTTCTCAGGCCTCGTCGAGCTTCCCTCCTACTGCCTCGTCTGCTGGACACTGCAGAAGTGAGTTCTGCCACCCCGTCCGGCAGTTGTATCATGTTAGGTACAGTTTTTTTCACACTGTTGCCCCCTTAGCTACGCTATTTTTCAGGGGGTCGGACAGAGCCTATGGAATAGAAAGTTACCAAGGTTTGATTTAATTAATGGGTATACAGTAGCTAATGCACAGTGTTAAAAGTGATCTCACTTATTAATTAAAGTCATTAAAATTGTAAGTTTTACAATATCATATCGTCATATCTCTCTGACTTTATATATCGTATCTCTTAAAGGTTTGGTCGACGTGTCAACCTGTGTACTCTGTTCGTCATCTGTGGGGCTGCCTGCCTCCTAATCCTAGCAGTACCCAAAGGTAAGGCTGTGAAGGTAATCGGAGATGAAACTTTGAAGGTAATCAAAGGTTAGGCTGTGAAGGTAATCAAAGGTTAGGCTGTGAAGGTAATCAAAGGTTAGGTTGTGGAGGTAATCAAAGGTTAGGTGGAAGGTAATCAAAGGTTAGGTGTGAAGGTAATCAAAGGTTAGGCTGTGAAGGTAATCAAAGGTTAGGCTGTGAAGGTAATCCAAAGGTATTTAGGCTGTGAAGGTAATCCAAGGTTAGGCTGTGAAGGTAATCAAAGGTTAGGTTGTGAAGGTAATCAAAGGTTAGGTTGTGAAGGTAATCAAAGGTTAGGCTGTGAAGGTAATCAAAGGTTAGGCTGTGAAGGTAATCAAAGGTTAGGTTGTGAAGGTAATCAAAGGTTAGCTTGTGAAGGTAATCAAAGGTTAGCTTGTGAAGGTAATCCAAGGTTAGGCTGTGAAGGTAATCAAAGGTTAGCTTGTGAAGGTAATCAAAGGTTAGGTTGTGAAGGTAATCAAAGGTTAGCTTGTGAAGGTAATCAAAGGTTAAGCTGTGAAGGTAATCCAAGGTTAGGCTGTGAAGGTAATCAAAGGTTAGGTTGTGAAGGTAATCAAAGGTTAGGCTGTGAAGGTAATCCAAGGGTAGGCTGTGAAGGTAATCAAAGGCTAGGCTGTGAAGGTAATAAGAATAAGTCACACTGCTGTAGATAGAATTATTCCCTACTAACAGGTAACTTGAAAAATAAAAAAATATACTAGATGTTGGTCCGTCATCTACTATTATGGAGTTTTGAGATCTCACAATTATCCAGAGAATTGTGATACGTCGTCGATTTTGCATTTTCAGTTTGAGGGTTAACTAAATATATATGTAAACTTTCTAATTATACATCTAAACACGTAAATTATACTCGCAAACTTGTAAAAATGTACGCGTAAACTCGTAAATTATACACGTAAACTTGTGAAATATACATGTAAACTTTTAAAATGAGCTACAGTTGTGTTAATAAGACTGAAAGTCGTAAAGTATTGATTTTAAGTGGGCTGACAGTTTTAAGAATTTTTAAGTCACTTGCATTAAAACAATGGTTATGTATAACTATGTATGTAAACGAGTGCTCTCACCCCCCGCGGCCGCCATCTTATGAAGTTTGTTGTCAAACAAAGACGTAGACATTTAATCGCTCTGTTAATTAGAAATAAAATATCTGGTGAATTAGCAGCACTTAGCAAATTTTCCCAAATGTTTATCTCGCAGCACAGGCTTCTATAGCCGAATACAAGAGATTAATAATCCTGGAGAGAGTAGAAGTGGGGAGGTATAAACTTTAAGGTGATCAGTCCCACGGCCTTGATAGAAAGTGGTCAGTTTGGCTTGGTGAACTGTGTTGTTCAGCAAGTATCTACCCAGTTGAGTCTAATAACTATTTTATTAACTGGGAAGGTTCCATTATAGATATTTATTATCATTATACTCAAAGAAGCGCTAAACCTACAATGCCAATTAACAACCTCAGTCTACACAGATTAACAACCTCAGTCAACACGTATTAGAAGCCTCATGTTGATCTACCCACCTGTTCTACAGACATGGTCTGGCTCAACATGACTCTGGCCACGGCTGGTAAGTTCTTTAACTCCGCGGCCTTTGCCGTGGCTTACATCTACTCGGCCGAGCTGGTGCCCACCGGCGTCAGGAACATCTCCGTGGGCACCTCATCCATGTGTGCCAGGATTGGCTCTATCCTGGCACCTTTCATTGTCGACCTCCTGGTGAGTCTCCGTCCTGCTGCTGTTGTGGATTGTTACTGTTGTGGTATCATAGCGAAACTCTAAAATTGTGTTTTTGGGTCATTAAGCCCCATGCCACGACACATTTTATTGAAGTGTGCTTTATTATTATTATTAAATTATTATTATTATTATTATTAAGGGGGAAGCGCTAAATATTATTTTCAAAAAGCACTGAACCTATGTGACACAGCACTTAATTGTAATTATTATTGAGATTTTATGCATTAATTGAAACAAATTTCACAATTGTTTTAAGTAGTAAATTTAATTAAACCTCAGAAAATCCAGTAAGTCCAGCAATGTGACTTACTTCCACTGGGATCCCTGTAGTACGCAATAAGAGAGATTTATTTTTATACAGTAACGTTTATTTTACGCGGTTGATAAATTAGACACATGTGCAACACTTGGGTATCTTCATTGAGGAAACGTTTCGCCACACAGTGGCTTCATCAGTCCATACAAAGGAGAACGTTGAAGAACAAGAGGAGTTTGAGGTCATTAATCCCTCAGCCTTGAGTCAATGTCGTCAGTCCATCAATCTTGATAAGAATACAGCATATGTGCGAAGAAATAGTTTATATACCGTAGGCAGGAGAGGTGCAGCAGTCGTAGGTGGTATCATATTTGTATTACATTCTTTTCAAGATTGATGGACTGACCACATCGACTCAAGGTTGAGGGACTGATTACCTCAAACTTCCTGTTCTTCAACGCTCTCCTTTGTATGGACTGATGAAGCCACTGTGTGACGAAACGTTTCCTCAATTAAGATACCCAAGTGTTGCACATGTGTCTAATTTATCAACTTGTCAGTTCTCTGAACCATTCTTCTACATTTTACGCAGTAACATATATCTTACGCAGTAACAGATTTATCGTAGATTTATTTTGTGCAGTAGCATAGATTTATTTTACGCAGTAAGATTTATTGTTAACATCTACTGTGTAACAGAATGTGTTTGAGGCCTCGCCACCTACTGTGTAATTTAAGGCGTTTGAGGCCTCGCCACCTACTGTGTAATTTAAGGTGTTTGAGGCCTGGCCACCTACTGTGGGCACTGCAAGATTAGTTTTTCTCCTTGCACCATACTGGATTTGATTTCTCACCCTGACAAACACTGCAGCAGCATGAAAATAAATGGTATAAAATACCGACACTATGGAAACATAAACACATATGCAGTTTAATGTGATCCTTTATTGACAACGTTTCGCCCACGCAGTGGGCTTTTTCAAGTCACAAACAGATCTGTTCGCACCTACTCCTAGGTTGAGGGACTGATTACCTCATCTTCTGTACATAGTTCTACTGTCTTCAAGTTATGTCCTAGAATTTGTATTGATAAAGCCACTGGATGGCGAAACGTCTACAATAAATATACCCAGATGTTGCACATGTGTCTTACTCTCATCTTGTCGGTATTATATACCATTCGTACACAACTTGTCAGACACTGCAACATCATGGAATCTTAATTCTGAGGACATGTACATAACCTTCACGACTACGAAACTACTACTACAACTAACCCATCTCTTTGGGAAGGACCTACTTCCACTGGGGAATCCCGCCTACCAGTGAATTTGCCCTCGTCTGCTTCACCTGACGTTACTATATAAGCGCCAGGATTCTTTCTTCTGCTTCAGAATCTCCACGACTATGGTGCTGTTCGCACCTACTCCTAGGTTGAGGGACTGATTACCTCATCTTCTGTACATAGTTCTACTGTCTTCAAGTTATGTCCTAGAATTTGTATTGATAAAGCCACTGGATGGCGAAACGTCTACAATAAAGATACCCAGATGTTGCACGTGTGTCTTACTCTCATCTTGTCGGTATTATATACCATTCGTACACAACAAACAGATCTACCTGGGGTGGAAGGTACCGGAGTATTTATAGTCAGAATGTTGAGGTCAGGTGGAGAATGCTGCATCTGAGGATCCACTGGGTGGGGTTATAGAGTCTTGGGTAGCTTGGCAGGGGTATTGGACAAGTTGCGAGTAGACCTTCTACAGTGTTCTATGTTCTTATGTGGGATAGCGATGAAGAAGTTTCTTGGCAAGTGGTTCAGCTATGTTATAGAAGCCATTGTTCTGGTTGAAATTGTTGGTTATAGAGATAAGCGATGATTCCAGGATTCTTCGGTATTGAGTGTTGTCTTCTGTGGCGATAAGTCTTGAGTTGATTAAATGGTTGTGTGAATTGCGATGTTGTACACGGGCATTCCTTGTATCGTCAATCCTGCTTGCGTATTGGTGTTCTGAAATACGTGTTTGGAGGTCTCTTGATGTTTCGCCCACGTATAATTTGTTGCAGTCATTACAAGGGTTATGTATAACCCTGCAGAGGATGGAAGCTTGTCCTGTCTACTACTGGTGATGTCCTTGATGGTCGTGGTTGTGGAGATAGATACTTGGAATGATGTATTGGAAAAGATGTTGGAAACATGTTTGGCAATGGAGTTGGTGGGGGGACTATGTATCTCTTCTCGGCAGTGTCTTCTCTGGGTGTGTTGAAGATGTTTAATGCCCGTCGTCTGCAGTCTCTGATGAAGTGACGAGGATAGTGGAGTTTAGAAAATACTTGTTCAATTATAGTGCATTCTTCCTCAAGGAACTCATTGCTGCAGATTCTGAGTGCGCGCAGGAAGAAGCCTATAATTACACCACGTTTAGTTTTGGTGTCGTGGTGAGAGTAGAAGTGGAGAAGATCGTTTTGGTTGGTTGGTTTTCGATAGACTTTAAAACGAAGTTCATGGTCAGTTTTGCAGAGAAGAACATCAAGGAAAGGAAGAGTGTTGTTGACTTCTTCTTCAAGTGTGAACTGGATTGAGGGCTCGACCTGGTTGAGCTTGTCTTGGAGAGCTTGAACTTTGAAGCGCCTGGGAGTTATGAGGAGAATGTCGTCAACATAACGGAGCCAGGTGACAGTCGAAGGAATAATGGTGGAGAAACGCTCGGCTTCCAGATGTTCGCCAGGACGGCACTGAGTGGCGAGCCCATGGGTAGACCAAAAGTCTGTTGAAAGAGGTGATTTTCGAAAGAGAAACACGTAAAGCCGACACATAATTGATCAAGTATTTTCTAAACTCCACTATCCTCGTCACTTCATCAGAGACTGCAGACGACGGGCATTAAACATCTTCAACACACCCAGAGAAGACACTGCCGAGAAGAGATACATAGTCCTCCCCACCAACTCCATTGCCAAACATGTTTCCAACATCTTTTCCAATACATCATTCCAAGTATCTATCTCCACAACCACGACCATCAAGGACATCACCAGTAGTAGACAGGACAAGCTTCCATCCTCTGCAGGGGTATACATAATCCCTTGTAATGACTGCAACAAATTATACGTGGGGGAAACATCAAGAGACCTCCAAACACGTATTTCAGAACACCAATACGCAAGCAGGATTGACGATACAAGGAATGCCCGTGTACAACATCGCAATTCACACAACCATTTAATCAACTCAAGACTTGTCGCCACGGAAGACAACACTCAATACCGAAGAATCCTGGAATCATCGCTTTTCTCTATAACCAACAATTTCAACCAGAACAATGGCTTCTATAACATAGCTGAACCACTTGCCAAGAAACTTCTTCATCGTTATCCCACATAAGAACATAGAACACTGTAGAAGGTCTACTCGCAACTTGTCCAATACCCCTGCCAAGCTACCCAAGACTCTATAACCCCACCCAGTGGATCCTCAGATGCAGCATTCTCCACCTGACCTCAACATTCTGACTATAAATACTCCGGTACCTTCCACCCCAGGTAGATCTGTTTGTGACTTGAAAAAGCCCACTGTGCGGGCGAAACGTTGTCAATAAAGGATCACATTAAACTGCATATGTGTTTATGTTTCCATACTGCAGCAGCATATTCTAGACACCTGTCGTCATCAATTTTGTATACATGGTTGAGTTTCAATTGCTTTACTCTTGTCATTCATCCTGGCCTACATGTTCTCTTGAACCAGCTGCACTGTCACTTTCACCTTCGTATTGTGGGTAATTTGTAGACTGTGCTTATTTTTTGTTAGGTCAGAGCACCATGAAGAATAAGACTACCTGATGTTGTATAAGAGCTAGACGTAAGGTTGTGTGCCTCGGTAGGTTGGTACTGTGTCTAAAGAACAACTTCAACCTGCATTTTTTTTTTGTTACAACGTTTATACAACTTCACCTGACATGCATTGTTCAAAGGATATTCACTGATATTTCAGTGAAGTCACTGTTGTGATGGGTTCTTCCTTACTATTAATATTATCGACCAATTTCAGTTCACCTCCTGAAGCAAACAGTATAACTTCTGTGTTCCCTGAGTGAAGCAACGGTTTGTTATCTGTGAATCATTTTCTGTAACATTCTACTTCCAGTCATAATACTTTAGGTAGACTCTGTGGGTCCTTATCTGATATAGGTAGACTCTGTGGGTCCTTATCTGATACTACGAGAATATTGTCTTCCTTATACAACAGTAGTTTTAACTAAACATTAATGGGCTTGTCACTTTTAGAACACAGTAACATAGTCGCTATTGGCAAGATGGTGCTTGAGGGTCCTTAACTGTCAGTTGCTCGGGTATCAGTGCTCATCCACTTAGCTGTTCCCATTATGCCTTACATGGCAAGACATTAATAGAATTATAGCATCTTCCGCTCCCTTTACACCTGCCATTTTTTACTCCTATTTTCACTCGATTGCTTTCCCCTCGCCTGCTTTCACTCTCCTAACTTGCCTAGCCTGTGTAGACCCATTATTCTATATGCAGGTGTTACTTTTCACCTCAGAGCCAAGTGATAGTCAATGATCGCAGACATCATGGGGTAGAAATGTGAAGAGCATGAAGTTAACTCAAACTGGTCTTACAGGTACCTTCTTATATCGTTGTTTTTCTTTGGTTCAGAAGACATGTTAAGTTTTCTCATCTATTTGAACTCAGTAGGAAAAGCTTGACTGTGAGAGCAACTTGTCTCATGATTAGTGGAGAGAGGATCGAGTTTCCAGTGCACGTTGCTCTGGATGATCCTCGCTTGTTAAGAGTGCTTCACATCAATATACAGAGAATAAAGTCATAATAACGTAGGTGGAACAGTTCATCACAAACCCGCACTTCGGAGAGAAACCTTATAACAATGTTTCGGTCCCTCCTGGACCAATGTCAAGTCATTAATCAGTGACAGTGGTCCAGGACGGACCTAAACGTCGTCATAAAGTTCTCGTAAGTGCGGGTTTTTAGTGAAGAATTGTACTAATACTCTTGCTGTAGAAAATTTTCCATGTGAGTGTTTCTCAAACCTGTATGCGTAACTCTGGTATTTCCCAACAGGGTGAGCTTCACTACACGGCACCCTCCACGGTATTCGGTCTGTTCTCCATATTCGCTGGTCTCCTCGCTCTCCTGTTACCCGAAACAAGCAAGCATAGACTACCGGAGACCGTGGCGGAAGTGGAGGCCTTGCCCAGGTAAAGTCCAGGAAGCCGTGCCATACCCTGCTGGAAGATCCCACTCTCTGGAACTCCACTTCGAGTGCTGGTAAAGTTTCATTCGTGAGAGACCTTAAATACGAGTGTAATCTTGGCACATTCAGGATAAGATAACACCGAGGTGTCATGAAAGGTCGAAACAAAAATGAAAGTATGTAGATAATCAATAACAACCACATCGTATGGAACGCATTATGAAAAAGGTGGTTACTGATATTGGTTGCTTGCGCAAGCATGACTGGATGGTTAAGACATGTGCAGCACATTGGTAATTTTATTACTCAGACGTTCCGCCGCTCATCAAGCTATTTGTTTGTGAATTATAGAAATTGTTATCATTGTAGTATAAACAGGACATCAGGAATGAATGTCATGACTTTAGACTTTGATATTGTTGGCCTCTGCTGAAATATGTACATGTGTGCTTTGCTGCTGATACAAACTTTGTATTGCTCGACCAAAACTCATTGAGATTCAGCAATATAGTTAACGACAAACTAAGAAAAATTACATTTCGACGATTGACAACAAACTAACACTTCATGTTGATCTTTTATATAATTTTTTATATAATTTTTAAGGCAATAAATCATGTCCCCAAAATGTTAGAATTAATGAAACCGAAATAGGTAAAGAGGAGGAGGGGAAAATTCCTAGGCCTAACAGTGGACAAAAAATTGAAATTTAATGCTCACACCAACAGATAAAAAAGTATAAAAGATTGTAGTGATACTCTGTGAAGTTCGTTATTATATTCCGTAATCTACACTACAAAAGATGATACTTCTCCATCAGCTACCCATACCTCAACCATGAGGCTTGTGGCGGTGTCTCCTGGTGAGCAACACACCTCGTACTGATCATGTTCCAGCACAAGGCAACTATCACAACCCTCACCAACTCTTATGACAACACATTGTGCTCTTATTCAAGTCCTAAAAACCTTCTTAATATAAATGCCTTTCATACTTTCTACCCTTCACAACTTTATAAAACACGCATCATATATATATATATATATATATATATATTACTATATATATATATATATATAATATATATATATATAATAATATATATATATATATATATATATATATATATATATATATATATATATATATATATATATATATATATATATATATATATATATATATATATATATATATATATATATATATATATATATATATATAATATTTGGTTAATTTGCCTGGAGCTTCTTCCGGAGGTCACCGTCAAAGTGGTTTCGTCCCTGACTAGGCCTCCTGTTTGCTGGCCTGATCGATTTAGCTGTTAAGTGCCTGCAGTCCAACGTATGCGCCACAACTCGGCTGATCAGGAACTGTTTAGAGAGAGAGAGAGACTGGTTCCTGGCTGGTGTTTCCCCAAAGAATCTGCTCTGTCCTTCCCTCCAAGGAGCCTTAATTAATCTGAGGAAGTTGAGTCACTCTCCCATCTCTTCCTTGGATGGTTTACCAGGTTTTGTATGATTCTTGTGGGTTTATCCCTCATGGAAGGTTCCTTGATGTTGGTTAAGGGCTCTTGATTTAGGGAATTGGATCTGTGCTCCAGTTCCCCGAATTAAGCCTGAATGCCTTCCACATCCCCCCCAGGGCGCTGTATAATCCTACGGGTTTAGCTCTTCTCCTTGATTATAATAATAATAATAATAATAATCTTGTGGGTTTAGCTCTTCCTTATTCATATATTACTATAACCAGGCCTTCCACTACTACTACTATTACAACTACTACTACTACTACTACTACTACTACTACTACTACTACTACTACTACTACTACTACTAACTACTACTTCTACCACTGCTACCACCACTACTACTGCTACTTACCATTGTAGTAATTAATAAATAATGATAAGTCATCATCGTCATCTGTGCCTTGCGAGGCTAAACTCAACTAAGCCCAGCCTCCTGCACCTGCTGACCAGGAAAATGCGGTGGACTCTCTAAAGGAAAGTATACTTCGGCCTCTGCCAGTAACTCGTTACTTACCTCTTTATTACGTTTTTTGTGGTTATAGCATCGCAGTTACCCTCATGGAGGGGTCACTTCTGCCTCATTATCGCAATTATTTTTTGAACTCTCTAATAGTTATCGCTGACTATGGCTTCTGTACCTCCTGATACGCGAAAATTGTTACGTAGAAGTGTGTATCTATGGGTATATATTCACCGAGAGGTGTGTATCTCACTGTATACTATAGAGGTGTGTATCAGTGTATATACAGTGATTGGTATGTATCAGTGTATATATACTGAGAGGTGTGTATGTCAGTGTATATATACTGAGAGGTATGTATCTCAGTGTATATACACTGAGAGGTGTGTATCTCAGTATATACACTGAGAGGTGTGTATCTCAGTGCATATACACTGAGAGGTGTATCCGTGTATTATACTAAGTGTATTCTAGTATATACACTGAGAGGTGTGTATCTCAGTGTATATACACTGAGAGGTGTGTATCTCAGTGTATATACACTGAGATGTGTGTATCTTAGTGTATGTACACAGAGGTGTGTATCTCAGTGTATATACACCGAGAGGTGTGTATCTCAGTGTATATACACCGAGAGGTGTGTATCTCAGTGTATATACACTGAGAGGTGTGTATCTCAGTGTATATACACCGAGAGGTGTGTATCTCAGTGTATATACACTGAGAGGTATCAGTGTGTATACACAGAGGTATCAGTGTATATACACTGAGAGGTATGTATCCGTGTATATATACTCCGAGAGGTGTGTATATACACCGAGAGGTGTGTATCTCAGTGTATATACACTGAGAGGTTTGTATCTCCGTGTATATACACTGAGAGGTTTGTATCTCAGTGTATATACACTGAGAGGTTTGTATCTCAGTGTATATACACTGAAAGGTTTGCATCTCAGTGTATATACACTGAGAGGTTTGTATCTCAGTGTATATAGACAGAGGTTTGTATCTCAGTGTATATACACTGAGAGGTGTGTATCTCAGTGTATATACACTGAGATGTGTGTATCTCAGTGTATGTACACAGAGGTGTGTATCTCAGTGTATATACACCGAGAGGTGTGTATCTCAGTGTATATACACCGAGAGGTGTGTATCTCAGTGTATATACACTGAGAGGTTTGTATCTGTGTATATACACAGAGGTTTGTATCTGTGTATATACACTGAGAGGTTTGTATGTGTATATACACTGAGAGGTTTGCAACTGTGTATATACACTGAGAGGTTTGTATCTGTGTATATACAGAGAGGTTTGTATCTGTGTATATACACTGAGAGGTTTGTATCTGTGTATATACACTGAGAGGTTTGTATCTGTGTATATACACTGAAGGTGAATAGCTCTTAGCGTATTTACACTTAATTAATTTTAATCGCTATTTTTGTGAGCGAACCATCCTTGACGGGGGGGAGGGACAGGTGACTTGTAGGAGACAGGAGTAGGAGACAGGGGTTGACAGGAGTAGGAGACAGGGGTTGACAGGGGTAGGAGAGAGGATTAAAATCTTAAGGTAAAAGCCATCATAGGTTATTGTATCACATGTATGTGTGTACTCACCTGTTTGTGGTTGCAGGGGTCGATTCACAGCTCTTGGTGTGTGTAAGTATATTGCGAGAAAGTGACAGAAAATGAGATGGGAGAGAGAAATGACTTTCCATTGTGTTACGAGGGTTGTGGAAGCCTTAGGCTGTCTGCTGGAAGAGAGAGTGACAGCCTTAGGCCAGGGCGGTGGTGGTGGTGATAGTATTGTATAGAGTAAGCTCACTCACGGAATCACTTGACTGATTCAGGCACTCAGCGCACTCCTGTCTCACTGGAGCACCACAACTCGTGCACTCGCGTGTCTCACTGAAGCACCACAACTCGTGCACCCAAGGCTCCAATTTGAAGATTAAATTTACCATTGGAGTAAATTCCAGTCCCAGAGAGCCAACGCTCACTCTCCGAGGACTATTTCCTACACAATAACATCAAATAGACTTATTTAACAATATTAACCTCAGTTACTTGGCTCCTACAGCTAAACTTACTGACTTATCATCTTTAAAACTGCTCGACTCTCTGGTATTATCTTTTTCTAACAGAATTGCATGTCTCCAGGTCCTGGTCGATACGTGTCCATATCGTCTGTATATTTTTTGGGTAACCATGGTTCGAGTCTCCGTCCATACTTCTGCTTATTCATTGACAGTCATTTATAAATATATATATATAATATATATATGTCGTGCCAAATAGGTAAAACTTGCGATTTTGGCTTAAATATCAACGCCAAATGACTAACTTTACCTATTCGGCGCGACATATATATTAAAACACCCTCCAGAAAAAATAGAAAAATGGTTGGCAAAAGTTTTTCGGAGTCGCTAAGAACTTATCATCAGGCCAATATTCATGAATATATGAAAAAATAAAAGTGAAAAAAATGCTGCATGCTGAGCTACAGCCGACGGTAGTAACATGACTTGGTCATGCATTACGTGGTCGTGGCATGATCCAGTCATGCCACGACCATCGGCTCTATAGCATCATACAGACTAGGGTTGCAGCACACTCCGAATGTATCTACTTCTGCTAAAAAAAAATATAACCCCCCTCACTAGTAAGTGGTTTGTCACTGGTGCTTAGCCTACACGTCACCGACTCACAGCTGCTACCTCGATCACCCATTAATTGTCCAATTATTGCCACTTATTTTACAAGGTAGGGATGCAGCACAGACCAGCACTATCTTAACACCCAGGATAACATGGCTTTAGAACAAGATCCTGCCCGTCTCCAAACACCAGCACTTAGATGAGACGCCGTATGACTTGTCAAGGCACCTAAAGTCAATACCTGATCAACCGGGCTGTGCTTCGTACGTCAGCTTGCGTGCGGCCAGCAGTAACAGTCTGGTTGATCAGACCCTGATCCACCATGAGGCCTGGTCTCAGACCAGGCCGCGAGGGCGTTGACTTCCGAAACCCTCTCCAGGTAAACTCCAGGTAAGTCACAGCGTTACCTGACAATGGTCCAGGACGGAGCGGAACGTCGCCAAAGGTTCATTTCCTAAGTGCGGGTTTTTGGTGAATTGTTCCAGCCACTGTAGTATGATTTTTTATTATTTAAAATCCTGCCAGTTACAGCTAATATACTGCTATAACAAAATCAAAGAGACATTGGAAGAAAACTAAAAATGACAATGTTATAAATGAATTTCTACAAAAGCGTTAGAGAAATGCTACCACAAAAATAAAATCTAAAAATATAACGGGAAATGACTGACGAAATCGTAATAACATGATAGCTAACAAATTACAGCTGGCCCAGTGGTTAATGCACTGGCCTGTGAGTTTTAGAACTCACGTCCCATGGGTTCAAACATAACCCGTTCCGTGATTTGTATACCAGGAAAGCTAGGGAAATAGATGCTTGGAATTCTAACAGCCAGATAACATACACAGGGGTAGTGAAGACATTAACACCTAGCTTAGCAAAGTAATATTTTAGCACCCCAAGGCGGAGCTCTTCTGCCATTACTGTTTCACTTCCTCACAGCAGAGATAATAACACAAGTCTCTGCTTCGTATC